TGTGACTGATAGCAAGCTACCTTACTCTCTAAGCCTTGCTTAAACCTGGAGATGGTTTAAGGTAAGGTTGTGAGGATTAGCTGAGAAAATACCCATATAGTGCTTGGTGCAGCGACTGGAATGGAGTGTTCACGTAAAAGGTAAAATGCATCTTTATTTGTAGGTAGTTTATTTGGGAAGTAATCCCAGAAGGCACAAGTGAGGGAGTGAGGAAAGTGATCTGGGGAAGTAGGGAAACTGATAAAGGGGGTGTTACTGGGTGGCTGCTGCTGTGGGCAGGGCCTACATTCCCTGGGGACACTTGGGTACTGGAGAACACAGCTCAAAATGGTTTCTCCAATGGTTGGGAAAACGAGGGTATTTATCCACTAACTCCTGTCCCTCGCTGGTTGAGGGTTGTTCCTTTAGGCCTTCGTACTCTCAGGAGGCTCTGTGCACAGGCTAAACAAGCTTCAGGTGGAGCCCCAAGCCCTTTGCAAGTCTCAAGCAGCAGACACAGCTTGAGATGGACAATGTCATAGTACATCCGGAAGTGTCCACAGCAGCTGAGGTGGACTCAGAAATCGGCAGAGGGGACAGGGACAGGATAGCATATCTACTATAGTGGAGTGCAGGAACAATTAAACAATATTTAGAATGTTTTGATAGATCTTAATTGAATAGATTAGTTATTGGGAGTATGAAATAGAGCACAATCTTAAAATGACTTTTGTATTTTGAGTTTACTCAGAAATTTGCAGCAGTCCCATTGATTGAGTTTAAAACAATTGTCAGAGGGATAGTTTTGGTGGTGATACTGGTAAAGGGAATGGAATATGATTCTTTTTTTTTTTTTTTTGAGTTGGAGTCTCACCCTGTCACCCAGACTGGAGTGCAGTGGCTACTCCCGGCCACCACAGCCTCGACCTGCTGGGTTCCAGCGATCCTTCTGCCTCAGCCTTCCAAGTAGCTGGAACTACAGGTGTGCGCTACCACGCCCGGCTAATTTTTGATTTATTGTAGAGATGAGGTATCGCCAAGTTACCCAGGCAGGTCTCGAACCCATGGGCTCAGGCAATCCACTCACCTCAGCTTCCCAAAGCACTGGGATTACAGGCTGAGCCACCAAGCCCGGCGGAAAATGATTCTTATCTGGGCATGCTGAGTCAGAGTTGTCTGTGATATAGCCAAGTGTCACACTAGGTTGGCAAATGAAATGTCCCTAATTCCATATTAAAACTATGCAGGCGTCAATTTGACATGCTTGAAATTCTTTAAACAGGTTTTGTGGGAACAAATCCTGACTCTGATAATGAATGAAGACTCTCCCCTTCTGCTAAAAATGCACATTTAATCTGGTGGTTTAAGTGATGGCATTTAAAATAGACTGGTGTCTCTCTACCTGTTGTTCACTTATTAGTTGACTTTGAACCCGTTGGTGAATTCTATCGCAGAGTGTCTTTCTTGGAAGAAAGGGAATAATAAACACTCTTTTGAGATACTGCATAGCTGTTGAGAACCAAGACAGCATTTCAAAACCCTTCTGAGTTGTTGCACAGCACAGTGCAGGTATTGTATTACTTTGCTTCAGTTTGCTTTCAAAACTTACAGCATTCCAATTATCCTTTTACTGGATACTCAGTAATAAAGTGAATATGCTTGTCTTCTAAAATAGAATTTTTAGATGATAAAAGCTTGTATTTGCCAAGTGAAATAAGTCAGATATTTAGCTAATTATGGCATGGAACTCATCCTTATATATATTTTTTCTCTCCACATGCAATTATACTTTTATTTGGAGACATGCATTCTGTTTTTGCTGTATTACAGAATGCATTTTTCAGTAGATGTTGAAGCCACTTATATTTTAACTTTCTGAAATCGTTTCTTTGATGGATATTTTATAATAGGAAGAAGCATAGTACATCCAAGTCAATGGGGTCAGAGACAAAATGGCAAATAGGGAAAGTCTGGCTTTTGCTTTTTCTCTCAGGGTGACCTGTGTCTTCCCCAAGGGCATTCCTAGGTCCCAGTGCTCACTGCCAAGGTGGCCAAGGGTTGTGGGTGTCTACCTCTAGAGAGGTATTTGTGTTGTCGTCATAGACCTTCAAGGCTTGTGAAAGTGCCAGACATGTCCACTTTAGCCACACTTGTTTGTAGTGTGTTGTCTATACATAAAGTTCTGAACTTAGTCAAAGTGGAAAAAGTGAAGGGAGCAAAACAGGGTCAGAAGAAGGCCAGGCATCCCGAGGTTCTTTGGCCACTGATTAACTGATTTTTGGCATTTTATCAAACCTTCTTGTGCCTCAGTCTCCTTATTTGCAAGGAGTTAACAGTAGTTCCCATCTCATAGAGGGAGTTTGAAGAGTAAATGATATAGTTTAGGCAGAATGCTTGGTAAGGAGCTCTGCTCATGTGAGGCTTGCTCAGTAAGTGTTAGCTCTCATTATTATTATCATCGTTTTAATTTCAAATGAAAGTAGGTATCCTGGGCCTATTTCATCTTCCTTAATGGGTGGGGCTGTGCTAATTGTTGCCATCAAGACTAGCTCCAAAGAAAGGCAAGGAAAGAGGAAGTAGGACAGAATGTAGTGGGAATTTACTCTAGGCCAAGGATTGTGCTAAGTATTCTGTGCATATATTATCTAACTTAACTTAATGAAACAATATATTCTTCGAAAAAATATGCTTGAGAGTAAACGTTTCTAGAGAAAAACATAAAACCTCCCTCAATACAGCTCCTGTTGCTGAGAGTTCCTGTTGCTGACCTTTAAAAGAGCCCCTACCTCTAAACTTTGTTGTTTAAACAATTTTTTTTGTTTTTTGTTTTTTTTGAGTTGGAGTCTCACTCTGTCACCCAGACTGGAGTGCAGTGGCCGCTCCCGGCCACTGCAGCTTCGACCTGCTGGGCTCCAGTGATCCTTCGGCCTCAGCCTTCCAAGTAGCTGGAACTACAGGCACACCCTACCACACCTGGCTAATTTTTTGATTTATTGTAGAGATGAGGTCTCACCAGGTTGCCCAGGGGGGTCTCGAACCCGCTTTGTTTAAACAATTTTAAGGGCTGATTTGTATGTTTCATTTTAAAAAAAAGTTCCAAGCAAAAATGTTATTTCTGTAAGAAAAAAAAAATGACAGTGAAGTCACAGACTTTGAAACCCAAATTTTTGGAGTAATAAAATAGCTTGAACAGTACAAAATAAAATAATGACAATAACATTATTTTACTTTTGAAGGACAAAAAGAGCAACCACTTTCAGAGATTGGATGGTTTTTTTTTTTTTTTTGAGTTGGAGTCTCACTCTGTCGCCCAGACTAGAGTGCAGTGGCCACTCCCGGTCACCACAGCCTCGACCTGTTGGGCTCCGGCGATCCTTCCGCCTCAGCCTTCCAAGTAGCCGGAATTACAGGCATGCGCTACCACGCCCCGCTGATTTTTCGATTTATTGTAGAGATGAGGTCTCGCTGCCCAGGCGGGTCTCGAACCTGAGGGCTCAGGCAATCCACTCACCTCAGCCTCGCAAAGGCGTGGGATTACAGGCTAAGCCACCGAACCTGGCTGATTGGATGCTTTTAGACTGCAGCATGGAATTATTCATTCTTCTGCTCTGCATTTAATGGAATTGGCTAAAGAATAAAATTTTCAGTGTTAGAATGGGAAGTCTACCTGGAGTCTCTCCCCTGGGGCCTGGTCATCATGACTTTGGAACTGTAATGTCTTTCAGAACGTGAGATCTGGGCAGTCTGCGCATGTGCAGCTCTTGTTGCCTGCAGAAACCGCTGAACTTTGCACAGGCTGTGGGTGGCGAAGCTCTTGTGTGCACCCACCCTGCTGTTCAGCTTGGAACCACCACTGGTTTCAATTATGACTTCAACAGGCAGATTCGAAGACTCCTCTATTTATTACAGGGCCTCACACTCTATAATTAGTAATAAAGGGACACAGGCACTTCACAAATATAAAAAGCTTAATAATAATCATGCGGTAAAGGCAATGCATTGGGACTTTTTCACCTAACTCCTTGTTTCTTTCAAGTTAAAAAAAAACAAAAATGTTTTTGCTTCATTTAATTAATTAATTTTTTTTTTGTCCTGAATAATCTAGGTTTGAATCTTCCCCTGGACACTTATTGGCTGTGTGATTTTTTTGACATTTTTATCTAACTTCCTTATTTGCACAAAAAAAGAAGTTAACAGTAGTTCTCATCTCATGGAGGGTGTTTGGAGTTTGAATAATTCATGCAGAATGCTTGGTAAGGAGCTCTGCTCACATGAAGACTTGCTCAGTAAGTGTTAACTCTCATTATTATTGTCATTTTAATTTCAAATGAAATGTATTGAGTAGAAGACATAGGTATAGTACTCAAGTGTTTTTCAAAAGCTTTCTATTATGTGCATGTATATAGAGAGAAGAGAGACTGGTGAAATTATCCTACCTTCCATGTACCCATGCTAGCATTGCCACTTGGCAGTATTTTATCAGTTTTGGTTCATATAGCCCCTTGTCTCTAATTCCGAAAGCAATTTTTAAAGCAAATTCCAAGCGTCATGTTATTTTGCCCATATATCCCATAAATCTGAGTGTCTTTTTGATACTAACATCCTGAATAAGCTGAGAGCTCCTTGGAACTATCTTCTTCATCTCAAACTCCAGTTCATAGAGGAGTTACTGGCAGCCAGTAAAAGTTCTACAGATGTTTGTCTAATTAGTGAAAAAAAACTCAAACGTAGCTTTTCTTTACATTTTGATGAATGCTCAATAAAAAATTGTCAAACGAATAAATGAAAGCAGGAATTTTATAGAGTGCCTTACGTATATGGAGATACACATAGTTGACAAAATTAACAAATATTTTTAGTGCTTGGTGAGATTTTGCAATACTTGAAGCCCCACAAGTATAATATTGCAATGAACATCAATAATGTCTCAATAATTAGCACTTGAAAGATTTCATTCTGATATTCAAATTATTTGTGAATGTCTGACTATGGCAACTTCATGAAAAGCAATTAGCAGATTCTTCAAACACATGACAAATCCTTTATTACTGTGCTTATAAGTGACACGGTTTACAGAAAACCAAATGTAATTAAATAACATTGAACTTGAAATCTACCACAGACTCAAGATATACAAGTTATACTTGGCAAGGCAAAATTTCTCAAACACTAGGTTGTTTCAGGTGAAAGGTAAGTAATTCCAACATGTTTTTTTTTTTTTGTCTTACAGACAGTTCCTTTGGCAATAACTTCCACTTTAGCTTTTATTATATAAAAATATAACAAAATTTCATTATATACAAACATTACATTACACAATGTACAGGTTAAAAACACTAAGAAAATGGCAAGCTGCAAGTGAAATGAAAGTCAATAGCATGATAAGAAAAATTAAATACTGCACACATTTCATAAAAATTACATTAACTACATTTTGTTTGCAAATACCAAACAGTACCAATGTGATTGGAAACAGCTTCCAACAACTTCATTTTAAGGCACATCTTGCATATTTATATATACAACACTGACACTGGTCAATAACTTAGGGGCTTCTCGGAGTGACCTGTATATGTATGAAGACATGCAGCATGGGATTACACATTTTCATTGGCTCCCTTCTTTGGGGACAGGTACCTGCCAGGGGGGGACTGGTAGAGGGGTACCCCGATCTCTTGCAGGTCTGGGAGCCTCCCTGGACGGGGAGGGGAGAGCAGAGTGACTGTCCTATCATAGTCTCTGTGCAGCACTTTCTCGTAGACGCTCTGCAGCCCCACTGTCTTGGGCAGCTGGGCCTGGTAGTAATTGTCCCTGCGCAGAGGATCCCGAGGCAGAGACGTGCTCTTGCAGAACGTTGACATCTGGGCTGGTGGCTGAGTTGAGGGATGTGCGTTGGGCCCACCACACGATGGGCTCCAGCAGCGGTCAGAGTGGCCCAGGATCTTGCACTCAGCAGTGCACGCCCACAGTCCTAACACAAAGGGGAAGGGGAAAGAGCATGATTATTCCCAAGATGACGCACGTGTTAAGCCTCCATCTGCAGAACGTCAGCCTGGGTCAGGACGACTGGAAAGGAAAAGTGCATATAAAGATGGATGCTGTGTCTCCAGAACTGAAAGGCGCATTGCTTCCTGTACAGCCACCTTAATATGAAGCTGGTCCAGCGTCTTTGACTGGAAGCCAAATAAAATTGATAAGCAGAATTCTCTGTTTAGATGGCTAGCAGCACCCCAGCTGCTGCCTAACGGGATGGGGGGTGTGTGCTTTACTCAACGGGTGGGGTTGCCTGGACTTGACATTTTGAATTTCAGTGTAAGAAGCAGGCCCGGATCAGGAACAGCAGGAATGAAAAAAGTGAGAAAGAGCGAGGGGGCTGGGAACCGAGACTGGGAGGGGGCAAGCCGTGGCAAAGGGGAGGGGAGGGAAGGGAAGAATGCTGAATCTGGCGAGTAAGAAGAGTCCTCACCACTCTGCATGTGGTTGATGAGATCCTTTTTCAGAGCGTCCCCGCTGATGTCGGAATCACTATCGTTGAAATCACTGTCCCCTTTGCCGCTGTCTTTGCCGCTGAACTTTTCCGCTTCTCGGCCGGAGATGGTGTTGAATGAGTGTCCTTTCCAGACCGCCACGGGGGGCGCCGGCTCCTTTCCGAAACCCGGGGAGGCACCGTAGGGCTGCAGCAGGGGTGGGAAAGGAGGGAGGGAGGGTTGGACAAGACACAAAAACACAAGTGCCACAGGTTAAGCGTCTCTCCGCGCGGGCCCGCCCTACCCCTCGGGTCTCCCTTCCCCCAGCCTGTCCGCGGAGCACGGACGGGGGCGCCCAGCCGAAGGAAGGCCTCACCTCGGCGTGCGCGCCGCGGAGCCGCTGCTGCCCCTCGAAGTGACAGGCGCTTTCCCCAGTGGCGCTGCCGCCCTCTGAGCCCGGCACTTCGGCCGCGGCGACCGCGGGCGGGGGCGCGTCGGCCGCGGGGCTGCCAAAGGGCGCTTTGCCGCTGCCAGGGAAGGTGAGCACGTCGAACATGTTGGGCCTGGGCCCGGCTCCCCGGGCGGCCTCCTCCGGGGAGCCGGGAGCTGAGGCTCCGCCGCCCGCCGCCCCGGGCCGCTCTTCCCGGAGGGCCCCCCCTTTGCGCACCTCCTTCTTGCGGCGGTTGCAGGTAGTGGCGATGGCGATGATGGCGGCCAGCAGCAGCGTGCAGCTCCCGGCCAGCACGATGATGACGATCAGCGGCGTGTCCCATTGCAGCGCCGGCCCCGACGAACCGAGCCGAGAGCCAGGCGGGCGGGAGCGCGCGGGGCTTCCGGCACTGGCAGGCGCAGCCGGCCCGCGCCCGCCGCCTGCTGTCACCACGAAGCTGACGGTTGCGGTGGTGGTGAGAGGCGGACGGCCGCCGTCGGATATGACCAGCAGCGCCCTGAACACGCGGCCGGGAGGCTCCTGCGAGAGGTCGCCGGTGAGCACGATCTCCCCCGTGCGGCGGCCGATGGCGAAGGCCTCGCGCGGCTCCTGCTGCTGCAAGTCGAAGGCCAGCTCCCCGTTGGCGCCTTCATCCTCATCCCGGGCCTGCACGCGCGCCACCGCCGTGTCCCTTGCGGTGCGCCCGGGGACCGCCACTTTTTGTGGCCGTTGGCTGGCGCCGGGTGCACCAGGACCGGCGCGTGGTCG